GGGACTTCCCCGGGACTCCCCCGGGACCCCCCCCGGGACCCCCTCTCCCTCCCCCGGCGGGGAAGGGAAAGGGAAGGGGCTTCCCTTCGACTCAATTACGACGTTGCTCAAGGTCGGTACGGGGGGGGGGCGTCGTATCTGACCTGGGGGGGGGGTCGCTACCGCCCCCCGCTACCCCCCCCTCGCCTCCCGGCGGGGGAGGGATCAAAGGGAAGGGGCTTCCCTTCGACTCAATTACGAGGTTGCTCAAGGTCGGCTTGGCTGGAGCCCAGGGGAAGAGGAGTCCCAGGGGGGGGCGTCGTATCTGACCCGGGGGGGGGGTCGCTACCCCCCCCCCCCTCCCGGCGGGGGAGGGATCAAAGGGAAGGGGCTTCCCTTCGACTCAATTACGAGGTTGCTCAAGGTCGGCTTGGCTGGAGCCCAGGGGAAGAGGAGTCCCAGGGGGGGGCGTCGTATCTGACCCGGGGGGGGGGTCGCTACCCCCCCCCCCCTCCCGGCGGGGGAGGGATCAAAGGGAAGGGGCTTCCCTTCGACTCAATTACGAGGTTGCTCAAGGTCGGCTTGGCTGGAGCCCAGGGGAAGAGGAGTCCCAGGGGGGGGCGTCGTATCTGACCCGGGGGGGGGGTCGCTACCCCCCCCCCCTCCCGGCGGGGGAGGGATCAAAGGGAAGGGGCTTCCCTTCGACTCAATTACGAGGTTGCTCAAGGTCGGCTTGGCTGGAGCCCAGGGGAAGAGGAGTCCCAGGGAAAGGGAAGGACAGAGACGACGAGTACAAAGAATGACGGAGATGACGGCTCGAACGGAAAAGCCCCTCACACACGCCGACAGGGTCGGCGGATTTGGGCCTCTTCGGGCCTTCCTGGAGGACCTCGTGGAGGCCTCTTGGGCCGTCTTGGAGGCCTTTTGGGGCGCTCGTGGGCCATCTTGAAGGCATCCGGGGCCATCGTGGGTGCATCTCGAGCCGCGCGGGAGATGGCTGGCGGCCATATGAGGCCCTCTGGCCTCCAGGGTGGTCGTTTGGTGGCTTCTTGCGTGTCCCACGGGCAGCGAGCGCGCAGCTATGGTACGCCTGCTGCCCCCAGGCGGCGACGAGCGACGCTCGGGCAGCGGCACCCCGCAGCGGCCACTCCTCCTCCTCCTCCTCCTCCTCCTCCTCCTCCCTCCTCCTCCTCCTCCTCCTCCTCCTCCTCCTCCTCCTCCCCCTCCCCTCCTCCTCCTCCTCCTCCTCCTCCTCCTCTCCTCCTCCTCCTCCTCCTCCCCCCCCTCCTCCTCCTCCTCCTCCTCCCCCTCCTCCTCCCCCCCTCCTCCTCCTCCTCCTCCTCCTCCTCCTCCTCCTCCTCCTCCTCCCGGTGCTTCTCTCGGTCTCCCCAAGGGGGCACCAAACTATACACCAACACCGATCCTGGCCCAGGATCACCCTGGGCCCAGGATCGGTGTATATGCCTTCTTGCGCAAGGCAGGAGGGCGTATACACCGATCCTGGGCCCAGGGTGATCCTGGGCCAGGATCGGTGTTGGTGTATAGTTGGTGCCTTCCTAACTAGTCCTAGACTTACAGGACGTGCGGGAGCTCGAAAATTGTTTGGCCTGGCGCACGGCATTGATCTCCGCTGAGCTACCTGCCACGCCGATGGATGGGGGTGATTGCGACGTCCGCTGTACGCATGCACTACGCCAGCTTGCAGCAGTACTATGACCACCTCCTCGAGGGGGAGCGGCATGGCAAACGCTGCGGACGCTCGAAAGGCGCCCTCGGGTGGCTGCCCCGCAATCTTCTGACAGTTGACAGTTACGGAACCCTCCCCGACACACGCACAGACATAGACACAGACAGACACACACACACACACACACACACACACACACGCACATTATGTTTTTGGCGTCGCCGTCCTGCGCGCAGCGACAAGGCGGAGGAGGTCGGAAAACAGTGACGCGCTCTCGGCTACGCCCGGCCGACAGCGCACGCGCGCATTTGCTTGGAGCCGCGGCTTTCGTTTCTCACTGCGGCCCGCGGGCGTCTGAAGGAACGGTGCGTTGCCGCGCCCGGGCCACGTCTCCTCGGGCCGGTAGGTCGACGACGAGAATTACGCCGACGACGGTATTTTGGACGCTGTCGTTGCGAGAGCTGGGCAGCGGATGCAGACGGGGCCTTGACCGCAGGCAGCCTTGTACGCTTGCTGTGGGCTTCCCCCAGCAGTCGGTGGCAAGCTGTGCGACCGCTTGCCGACGCAGTTCTTCACAGGGGTGCCATCAGGGCTGCCTCGCCTGCACATCTAAGGTGATTCTACCCTGCTCTCGCTCTGAACTGCCCGCAGAGCCCGTCGACCGTAGCGCTGCGCGGAAGAGCCACAGCTGGGAGCGCCCGAAGATGGGCGCAAGCGACAGAGGCCAGATCCACCACCCACCGTCCCGGCAAGACCTCCGCACGAGTGCGTCAGCCTCGCCTTCGGGGGCTTTCTGCGACACGCTGGGGCACGGCAGGCTGGTTGGGGGTCCTGGCCGCGGAGGGCCAGTGAGCCCTCCCCGCCCCCGCTCACGAGTGCCCCCGAAAGTGCCTCGCGATAGCGCTGGAGGAATGGCGCTCCGATGGCTGCGCGCCTCGCACCGAATCCGCCCCAGCCCGTGGAGCATGCCATGTCAGAAAGGGCGCCGACAGGTTGGAGTTTGGGACTCCCCCGGCGCCGGCCGCTTCGACACAGAGGTGGCGGCTGGTGCTCATCGTTCTGCTCTCGCATGCTCGTGGCGGGTCGGCTACCCTTGTAATGGTCGCGCTGAGTGGGGAAATCAGCCCCATCCGGTGCAATTGTGTCGCGGCCTGTTCCCTGCGCTCCTCTCTCCATCTGACCGCCTGCCTGATCTGGAAGACTGACGAGAGCCCAGTAACAGAACGAGTCGGACGCATCCCAGTTTGCTGGATGTGCCAACGCAGATTACCAAATGTTGAGGTGATATTTGCAGGTGGGTTCCAGCCATATTTTTCGCCAAAGAGGACTCGGGCTGGCCGTGGGGCAGCCAATTTGGATTCTTCATCAGATGCGATTGGGTCCACAATCATGGTGCGTTTGGTTTGTATGAAAGCGTTGATGCTTTTCAGGCCGTGGACATTGTTGGATTTATCTCTGCAGTGTGGCTTGCTTATACCATGCGCTGTGATGATTTTGAACTTTCGACTGATGATTTTGAATTCCAGCTGCTATTGAACGACGGGCGCGCGCAATTGGCTTTTCTGCAGGATTACACTGCGCGTCAGGGTGAGCACGTTTGTTAAAGGTTGCTTCACGGCGCTATTGAGATCACATGCCTGTGCGACTGCCGCTTTGACGTCGGTCATTGATGGAATGCGGCTCACGTGCTTCGTGCTGATTGGATGTCCCAACTTCTATACGTTGTGCTCATTTCTAGCCGCTTGCGTGTGCTTGCTGGTGATCTACATGTTGTTTGCTTATGCTTTTTGGAGGGAGGGGGTTTTGTCCGGCCCGGCTGGCGCCTGCAGTAGGCAACATTTTGTTTTTGATTGTAGTGGCCGATCCTCGATTTGAGGCTTGTCCCTGATGAAGCTCCCTGCTCTCGCCCTCCCCCTTCTTCTTCTTCTTCTTCTTCTTCCCCTCCTCGTCCTCCCTCTCTTCTCTTCCCCTATCTCCCTCCTACTGGGCGATTTTGGCAAGCGCGCTGCACACGGATGTTCTTGCCAGTCTCACGTGCTCGCTCGTGCGGTTTTGACGACGATTTCAGACGCTCAGCGCTTTCCTCACGGAGCTGTTCGGGGCTTGGTCGCTGGGGCGGCCGCGCCCCCCTGCTCCTCCTTGACAGCGCAGTCCTAGCTGCCTGGCATGTCAGTGTGCAGAAGTTTGTCGCCGTGCAAGTCTTTTCCTGTGGGGACCGCCTTCATCGCATGTTGCGTTTTGCCGGTAAGTTGATGCGTCCGCCTGTGCACGTTTGTGGCTTGCGCACGTTTGCGCTGGAGTGCTCTGCTTCGCAGACGTTGCGCGTCTTCTCGCACAGTGCTTGCCACGCCAGGCATTTCGTTGCTGATGGCTGCCGCCAGTTTTCACTCTTTGACTTTTGACTGTTTCCTGCAGCGTGGGCGTGATACACGCGGGCAAGTCTTATATCCATATTCTTAGATGGGGCGCCACAAGGCCGAGGCGAATTGGATATGGATAAACATCGAGCCTCTAGGGGCCAGACGTTCATCCATATCTAGTCCGCCTCGGGTTTCTGTGGAAGGGAGCCCGATACTCCAAGCTGCAGTGCAGATGGACACACGTCTTGCTCTCAATACACGCGTCTCGCTTCGGACAAAACTTGGGCTGTGTGTATGTTGTTGTTCCGCTCTCTTGTTTGTTTATTGGTATCTCTCTCTCTTTATTTCTCTCTCTATTCCCCCGCCGCTCCCCTTGCGCCAGACATCTGTGTTTCGTGTTCCTTGGTGGGTTTCTGATAGAGCCAGGGCCAGAGCTCTCGGCTATGACTTCCAATGGTTGCGTGTTGATGGCTCGTATCAAAAAGAACGGACGCGGGTGGGAGGGGGTTGGCAACGAAGGGAGTGGGTAAGGGATGAACGAATAAGTGGGAAGGAGGAAGGGCGCAGCCAGCACGCAAGGACGAATGGCGAATGTGGAAAACATAATAACTAAGGGCAGGGGAGTGCGAGCCAGGACATGCGGTGCGAGGCTTGGGCAATGGCCTTTGGCGTGGGAGCAGCATCGTGTATCAACAAGTCCAGTACGTGAGGATTGTTCATGGTTTCATGGGGTTATGTTTCGAAGTTCTGCAGCCGCTTGGCGTGAGCGTAGTTCGAGCAATGACGCAACGCGGATTTGTCGCCGTTTCTGAATTCGGAGTGGCTTATTGGTTAATGTCTCGGACATGTTCTTGGCGACGTGATTCTAACACACACGGGGAAAGGGTGGGGGGAGGGGGAATGAGGAGGTAAGGGCGATTGGAGGGTAATGGAAGTCCGAGGGCAGACTGGAGGGAGGCGGGACCAGTCGGCACATGGGCCAGGAGTCTGATTGCAAAGTCGAGCTGGTCTTTCAGTACGCTGGGCTATCGCAAAGCCCGTCGCCTCGTGGAGGAGGAGGACGAGGAGAGATCTGGGCAGGAGGCAGAGGATGAAGAAGAGAAGGGGTGGGGTAGGAGGAGGAGTCAAGTTAGCCAGGTCGAGCGAGTCAAAGACTTCCGCCCATTCCCACCCTCCCTCCCATAACACAAGAACCAAGCGTGACGCAACCTGGTATTGGGATTGGAACGTGTTCCCACCTAGCGACCGAAGGCGCTTGCGCGCCTTTCCGCTTCCCATGACTTGGCGACGGAAAGCTACGCGGGCCGCGCATGGGCTGAGAGCGGCAAACCATCCGATGAGCGCGGCGAAGTCGAAGCATGCGCCGCGCCGACACAGCACTGCCACTTCTGCGCACAAGTTGCGCGTCGATTTGGCGAGGTCGGAGCATAGCATTCGCTCCCGCGCAGCCCCGCTGCCGCTGCCGTTTTGATTCGGTTCGGCAAACCAGCCATGCGCGGCCCGCGCGGGAACGCTACTTCGAGCGAAATGCGCACGGAGTTTCGGCGAGAGCGACAAGTCGTCCGATCGGGCGGGGCCCCGGACATCGACAAGTGAGAACTACGAGATCTGGAGAGGTTGTCAATGTTGCGAAACGTCAATTTACAGTCATTGGTGGCGGGGCTACGGTTGTCATCACACTCCCAGACAGTAAAGGGGCCAAGCGGCATGGTCAGGTCGAGCACGTCACACTGTGCGACCTTTTGATCATCAAACTCTTAATTCGTGTCTTGGCTCCTCCTAGGCAATGACGAGACGCTGTTCCCTGGCAATTTCACGGGACTTCAACAATATCACATGTTTGGCTCGATCCTTCGGGCTAGAAAGCCAGGGTTTGACTCTATATTGTCTACGGCGCGGAGGCGCGGCTTGGCACTTCACCACTTACGGAAACCATGACGCCACCCAGGCGTTAGGAAGGTGGAGTTCTTTGAAGCCCGCTCGAGGCTACATTGACCAAGCGATGGTTGACGTCGGCTCCTGGTCTCTGCCGGAATAAGGGCAAGAGAGCGGCTTTAACGTGTTGTCCGTGGCCTGCCCTCCCTGCTTGCCCGCCCAGGTCGAAGGGGCGTGGGTCGTGGCTGCGCCGCGGTGTCGTGCACGCTGTGACGCGGGGTTGGTCTCTGTCTTGGATGCCACTGGCGGCTGCTACGTCCCCGTTCCTCTTGAGGGACGGGGAGGTGGTCACGTGCGTGGGGGGTCCTATTGAGGACCTTGCGCACTCCGCGGGTGGCCGTTGCCCACGGGGGCGCGGTGGAAGCCCGAGGCTTTCCTCTCTCCCGCTGTTGCCCTACAGCTGCGCTGTTCGCGACCTTCGGCCGCGCGCGCGCCGGCGCGGCGGCGCACGCACAAAGCCTCACGGGCGAGAGGGAGATAGGCACATGGACTCGTTGTAAGAATTCGCAGGAGCGCGCGCAAGTTTTCTCGAAGAGCCGTGTTGCGAAACCCTTTGTTGTTAATTCGATGCTGAAGGCCTTAAGAAGCCGAAAGTTGTCGAAGGATTTCGGCATGCGCGCGCGAGCGCATTTCGTCCCAGGTTTTGCAACGGGTTTTGAAAACTGATGATTTGTTATAAACGAGTGCGCGCGCATAAAAATTGTTGCAGATGATGGCGGATTGGGGGGATACTGGCCCCCCGGGGATCGTGCGGATTCATATCTAGAACGGACGATTGGGCTGAATCGTATGCAAATTGCAATACGAAAACGGGAGGTGAAAATTCTGGGGGGCGGGGGGTACAGCCTGTCTTTTTAAGGAAGGAGAACCTATATGGTTTAATCTGAGCGGTGAAATTACATGTTGTGCAGCTCACGTCACGTAATCTGTATTGTACAAAACATGGCGAAGCATGTTCAGCAGCACATGATGTGCAATCTATATATATATATATATATATGGCGCAATCTCTTCTCCGCGCCATCAGAAAGCACGCTTCGGGCGCGAATGTTGCTCGTGCAATCTATGTGGCCCAATCTCACGGCAGCGACAAGACGGCGACGAGACGGCGACGAGGCGGCGGCGGGGCGGCGACGGCGAGAACACAGCCGCCGGACCGCTCACACGGCCCGGGGGTGACGGGGCGGCGACGGCGGGAACATTACCGCCAGACCGCCCACGCGGCCCAGACGACGGGCGGCGACGAGGCGGCGACGGGGCGGCGACGACCGGACTATGGCCGCCAGACCGCCCACAAGGCCCCTTTTCTAAGAGGGCAAGATGGAACCCCAAACAGTGCGAGCATTGTTTGGGTCACGTCCGTGTCGCATCCCTTCTGACAGGTAGGATGGATCCCCCAGCTTTGGGCGGCTATCGGCATGCTAGGTGGCAGAGCAGGAGTAAATATGAATAAAAGATAAGGATCGGAGGAGGGGCAGGTGAAGCGGGAGGAAAAGGATCAGACGGAATACGAGGAGGATCTGGCATGTCTGTGTAGTAGAGGAAGGGTGGGGTGGGGACGGACTTGGGTTATCAGGCGATCTCTCGAAGGAGCGGGGGACGATGCACTCACTCCGTTTCCCCTGGACCCACGTTTGGGCGGGATTTTTCTGAGGATGGCGGCCGTCTTTCTCAGATGAGCGTGCGGAGGAGCAGCAGCAGGCCGAGCCATACTTCGGAACGCCGCGACGTCTCATCCCAGCCTCGTCGACGTCTGTAGCAGATCCCCGCATGCCATGGCTGCCCAAGCGCTTGCATACATGACGGCTTTTGGCCACGGAGTGACATCCTAGCCGCTTTTGGGCCTGTCTCGATGAAATTTGCCGGGACGGTGTCAAGGGTGGGTTTGGAGGCCGATTCATGCAGCATCTCCGGTGTGGGCGAAGGCATAGACAGGTGCCGTTCTCTGAGGTGCGCGTAGCCCCTCGGCCAGTGCGTATGCTTGGCTGCACACGCCGCTGTCTGCGCTCTCGCATTTGGGTAGATGTGTGCAGGGCCCCCATGCCGCGACAGTCTGGGACATTGTCAGCCCGCTCCCCCTCAAGAAGCGGGCGAGCATCACGACCTTCTCCGCCTGCCTTGGCAGCGTCCCTTGTGCCATGCTGGCTCCGAAGCATCAGTGCCGATATGGAGCCCCGTCCAGTCTGAGGCCATCAAGGGGGAGTGTGGGGGGGAGTTCAGAGCTTCTGACCGTGGCCATTGCCCACACGTTGCCCCATCTCCGCTCGTGCAATCATAATATGCGTTTCCCCCCATAGGTGGATACAACAGCTGATCGTGGAGAACATAGACACGGGCGCGCCTGCCAGCGATTTGCGCGGCGGTGCACGCTTCGTCAGCAAAGTCGGCGTTGCCGTGCCTGGTTCCTAGACTGGGAGAAGGGTTGCCGTGCCATGGCGTGCCTGATTTCCCGAATTCGAGACGAGGTGCCGCGCCGTGCTTGGCTTCCAGAGTGCGACACAGTCGCCGTGCCGCGCTCGATTTGCAGAATGCGAAGAGGTTGCCGTGTCGTGCAGTGCCTGGTTCCCCGGAAGCGAGGCAAGCTGCCGTACCCTAGCGCGTCCAGATGTCAGAATGGAGCAAGCTGTTGTGCCGTGCCGTGCTGTGCCGCGCTCGGTCTTCAGAATGGCAAAGGTTGCCGTGCTGTTCCGTGTTGCGCCTGCTTCTCGGAGTGCCAAAAAGTTGCCGCGTTGTCAAGCGCTTGGTTTTTGCTCGAATCTGCGAACAAGTTGCGGTCTTGCGCTTTATCTGGTGTTCAGACTTTGACACATCGCCCTGCCGTTCCGTGCCAGGGTATCAGAAGGCGAAAGAGTTGCCGTGCCATTGTGTGCGTACTATGTATATGATCATGCAGCGTTGGTGTTGATGCCGCTGTGATGTGGTCCAACTTGTGGCACTGTGTTATAGTGGTTGTTCAGTGTCTTATTTGCGGGAGCCATTTTTGTCGCACGCGTGGTATCTCCCAGTTGGTTGGTCCACTTGAGAGCGCGGTGATAGTATCCCTTCATCGCCCGCTCTTGCCTCCCTCTCCCGTCAAGCGTCCCTCCCCCCTCAGGCCCTCCTCTCGCCCCTTCAACCTCCCCCTCTGCCTCTTCGTCGGGCTCCCTTGTTTCATGCGTCCTCGGCCATGCGACGCCGCAGGAGTGCTGACGATACCCGCGCCCATCCTGTCGCGCGCCTTCCAGGAGATCGCCAACGGCATGTGCCAGTTCCACGAGGCCCTGGGCGCATGGACGCCGTGACCCTCCCCTCCATCCAGGACCCTCCCTCCCGGACCTTCCTTCCCGGACCCGTCCTCCAAGTAGAACACTTCGTATCAAGGAATGGACAGACCGCGTGCGAGTCAAAGACGGGGGCAGAGCCAGAAATGAATGGGTCTCAACCGTTGACAGCTCCAGCGTTGTCTGCCTTCGCACCCCGCCCAACGGTCTTGCCCATGTGCCACCAGGCATTTGTGGCGGTCCCGAGCGGGAGGAGGACCTGCTAGCCCAGGACGCCGCTATGCCCAGTGACTCCGCTGCCGACAGCGGCAGCGAAGGCGACAACGCCTTGGCCCAGACGGGAGCAGACACGATCTTTGTGGACACTGACGCAACTATAAGGCCCATGGCTGACACATGGGAACCCATCCTTGGCAGATGCCTTGTCACCGAGGGCCATGATAACTAGGCTGCGCCCACATGGGGTGATTGATTGAAAAGCGGAGTACCACCAGGAACTCCCAGAGCCAGCACCCGCCGTGCCACGATGACCTCATCCGCTTCATCAGAACGAGACCAGCAGCCAGATCAGGTGGGCTCGACAGATGGACCACCAAAGAAGCCAGAACGCTTCCTGACGGAATCTTGCGCCTTCTCGTTTGGGCGTTCCTGGCTATGCAACAGACGGGTGTCGTCCCTGAGCCGCTCCCGCATGTCCCCAACCCATGTCTGCGAAAAGGTAAAGGCTAGCTGCCCACTGACCATGGGTTCCTTTCGGTGATGTCCATCTGGACGTACGCCTAGGAAGCACCAGCCCACCGCAGCCTGACATCCTGGAGAGCTCACCGGAGTCACCCTACCAGCTTGGCATCACCAGAAGCCGCTGGCGGGGGTTGCACTGGGTAGACATACATCTTTGGAATTCCTTGTCACAGACGTGTGCCTAAACCTGGCCATCCATGCCAGCTGCTCCCAGGACATCGTGCGTGAGAGGCGCCATTTCTACGATAACCACAGCCGCGACATCAGAATGGGAGGTGCCCACTCCCCGCCCCATGGTGCGTACTCCACGGGCATTTCCAATGCAGTTTTTGTTTCCTCTCGACGACACGAAGCTCCTCATCTGCATCTGGAGAAGACGGCAACGCAGGTATATCCCACGGTTGTTCAGCCGCACGTTCGTCGATGATAGAGTAGGTCCATTGCCCCTGCGGCAGCTGAGCTATAGGCCTCTCGACCAGACCGTTCGACAACCTGTCGGGCCAGAAAATCCACCCAGGCAAAGTCGTGGGATGGGCCCTGGGTGACGAAGTAAGCCGCCAGGCCGCCGCTCTCCACCTCGAGGAGCACCCACTCGGAACTCAACCACTTGAAGTCGGTTGGGAGTTTGATCCAGCGTGGCGCCAGAGGGCGAGGGCCCTGGCATCACTCTCGAAGCCGCTGCCGATGCGAGAGCGGGAAAGAGTAAATATGCTCCTCTCCGCCTCTTCTTACACTTGCTTCTCTCGCTGCCTGCCTTGCCACACCCTGACCCTGCGGCTTCGTACCGCAGCTGATTGTGCTTCAAGGAGATAAAAGGAGCGCGCCAGCCCTCGGCCGCCGCGTGTCGTCGGTCGTCGGCCGGCTGGCCTCCTCCCTTACCACTCCTGAGTACAATTGTTTAACGGTTACTCGCTGTTTCATCGATGTCTCTTCCCGTGTCCTCTACTACTGAGCAGAGTGAGCACGAGACCTTGATTCCTTTGTCATCTTACCCCGGTTCTCAGAGGAAAGACTGGCTATCAGCCGAAACCCGCGACCAAGTCGCAACAGGGATGAGCTATGATGAGACAGCCGAATTGCCCGCCAGAGACGAGCTCATGACACAAGTTGTACAACATGACGGGCAAGGACCACAGGACGGCGGCCCGGGTAGGGGCCGCTTTCCTTCTTCTTCTATCGCCACTCAGGTCTCTCGGGGAAGGAGTAGGGGAGAGGTTATATAGTTGTCCAGAGACGACTCTTTCTCGGATTCCGATCGGAGATCGTGAGCAGACCCCAGACCCGACGAGGCGAGACGGCACAACAGCAAAGATTAAACGAGGAGCTTTCTCGTCGTTAATTGCCGTATTTTCGGTAACGATAAACTCCAGCCCGATTGCTACGCGGACTGTCGTGCCGGCCGCTGGCCAACCCAGTGGGTCAGGAGAAGCTGAAAGGTCCAGAGGCGTGTGCCCCACTGTCCCAGACGGATGGGGAAACGCACGAGGGACTCATCCTATCCCGATAGCTCTGAACGGACAGACCGGCTAAGACAGCGACGAACAGTTTGATGATGGAAACGATATTAACTCCATGGAGGAAGACATCGAGTATGCCAATTATCAAGCGTCGCTGGGCCGAGATTTGTCCTCGATAATGGATGCAGACCACCCCGTCCAAGACGAGAGGTGGTCCCCCGGGCAGGATGCGATTGGTTACGATCAAGTGGAAGCCCTTGGGGAAGCATTTGCAATGCCAGATTCGGACATTGAGATAAGTGACCTGACGCCCCAGGCGGTCGAGGTGGAAACGGAATGTCCGACTCAAGCGAAGCATGACTGGGAGATCAATGGACGAACTCCCGCCCCTCAACTGAAGAAGCAAAGGGATGAGGATTACGACTTGAACGACTCTCCGCTTCAGGAAGGGTTTCATCGGACTGCCGTCGCCACAGGCGATTGGCAACCGTCGATACCCATTGTAGTTGAGGGCGATGAACTGATCGACCCCCCGGCTTCGCTTGACGAATTGGTTAAGCAAGATGAAAGGGATGAGGAGCTTCGAGAAACGGCTAGGCCGCCAGAGAGTGCGCACATGCGTCCCAGATCGAATGCTTCGAGCCGGGGAAGGCTCAAGATACCCAGATCTGGAGCTCGATCTACATCGAGGAGCAACAGCACGATATACATGCGCGAGACATGCTGGAACGATGCCCTGACTGCCCGCCCCAGGCGGAGAACAGGTGCCCGGGGAAAGCTCACAAGCCTGATGGGGCCTGTAGACGCCCAGTGTATAGAAATTGCTCAGACGTGTGTCCTAATTGTAGTAATCAGTGGTTGTGTGTAGACTGCATGCCGATGGCAGAGCACAGTTGCTCCTACCTTCTCCTCCAGGCGATGCAAAATCCGGCTAGATATGTCGAGGCCAAAACCCAGCAAGAGTTCCTGGCCCGCGATGCTCAGAGGGCCGAGAAAGCACGAATGGATAGGGAAGAAATGAATGCAGTCGTTGAGGACGTTCGGAAGACGTTCGAGGCTGAGAGACTCGCAATGGCCCAGGCGGCCAGAGAGCGGGAACAAGAACTGGTGGAACAGAGGCCCCACCAGACCGCGGCCGCCAAGCGGCGCGCGGAAGAAGAAGCTGAGAACAGATATGCTGAGATGATGGCCTGCGAACGACAAGCCGTCATGACGGCAAATAGTCAGTCTGTCGATGTCAATGTAGCATCCGCCGCTGTTGCGGCGGCAAGAATAGAAGGAGAGAGGATCGCAACAGCTAGGGCATTTCAAGAAAGGCAGGAGCTCCAAGAACAACTTCAAACTGCCGGGCTGGAAGCGGCCAACACCCAGGTTGTAACTGCGACGATAGTTGACCAGAATAATCAATATCGAGAAGAGCTTAAGTCACATGAGAACGCCAGAGCATCTCTTCAGCGTATACAATTGAGCGACAGTGCGCGCCCGCCGGCCATGCCGGCTGGGGCGGGCAGACGACCATCGCCGGCGCTCCAGCCGTCCGGCGCAGCGTCCATACCGGCTCAGTCTGGCTTAATGACCGCAGTGAGCGTGGCGCCGCCAATGTTGCAGGTAAGGGCTGCACAGCAGCCACGGCCCGCGAACGGTGACGATGAAGAGAGTTGCTCAGTTTGCGTCAACCCGAAAATAGGAAATTTCGCCACATGTGGACTGCCAGGTTGCAATGATCACTTCGATGTGAGCACTTAACGGCGTTCTACATGTACTCGAAAGAAGAGCTTGCCAGCAGAACTGGAGAAGTGGAATGGCCAGTGGCAAAAACACAGTGCTGATCACGAATTTCGGGCTCGACAGCAGAAGCTTCTTGATGTATGTAGCGCTGACAAATTAAATGTTCAACGAATAAAGGGGCAGGCTGGAGAGCAGATTAGACTGTGCTCAGGAAGGTCAGCCGCCGACATCCGAGGGCAAGATGAGGCCCTGGTACGCGCAGGTACGTCAGACAGAGAAGTGATGAAGCTCAAAGCTATCATCATGAAGCCATTTCCATATAATGAAAAAGGGCAGGGAAAATTGCTCACCTTTAGTTCATTCGGTATGCCTTTGCTTTCACAAGAAGCGCCCGTGAGGCCTGTCATGCGACCTAACTTTACTGTTCCTGGCCCTGCCATCGAAGGTCCGGCCACGCCGAGTACCTCCGAGAATGGTTTACCAATCAACATGAAGCTAACAGGTACCAATGAAGACATGGCTTTTGTTGATTATCATCCATTCTCCAGGGGCGGACCTGTGAGACCGCCAGCGGCCAAGCCGTCTGGCGGGGCGGGGCGGGGCAAAGATGGGGGCGACAGTAGTGTCGCACCGAGTGCTGCGATTATGTCGGCACTTAATGAAGCTATCCGCGACCGGCCAGAGAAGCCGCCTCCGGGGAGTCCGGGGAGACCTGGATCCCCAGGCGGTGGAGGTGGTCGTGCTGGACCTCAGGGCCCAAGAGGGCCACGTGACCCGGGAGGCCTTGATGAGAGTACCCCGTTGGGCCAGTGGAGACAGGTTGGAAACAATCAGAAAGTTGATCTGATGGACATTCCCGATGTTACAAACATACGGGGGTGGCAGATGCATGCAGTCCGCGCGATTGCTGGATCATCTCCTGAGATCCAAGCGGCACAGCGGTGGATCACGGAAGCTATGAATCCTGCGGTGGATGACGAACAGCTCAAAGACCCAGGCCGCCTCCAACGTCTTCAGATCATGATCGCCACAAATTTGATTGAGAAGTTTACCAACGTGCGCAGGAATCGC